TTACTTACATCGCATTTTTATAGAAAAACAGCCAAAAATCTATTTGGATCACACTGCCTTCGTTACACTTCTCAGTAATACCGGTCGACTGCTTGATGACAGCGCGGACGGAGCACTCTAACGTGCCATGCTCGATTGGTGTAGTGAACTAAATGGCAACGTCGCATTGCTTAGTCGTTTTAGGCGGGGTACCCGTTTTAATCGGGTTTCCCCTATTATTACTATATAAGCAGTTTAAAAATAATAATTTTCATAATCTCTTTCATAAAATACGGTATCGTGTTTTCCTAACCATTTTACCGCTTTGGAAAATAATCTTTCGGATGGAGCAGATGTGGCCATCACAGAGAGATGCTTTAGAGCTAATTCGGTTAGCTTAGGAAAAGCCAGAGCTCATCCAGTCAGAGGATCTACCATAAGCGGTGCCGCAATGTATAGGTCCAATCCTCTATCTGTCCATCTGGAAACAGCATCATTATTTTCAAATTCTACTAATATCTTTTCTTCAAAACACCTTGATTGATATAGTTCTTAATCAATTTTTAATTGTCCTCGAAGCGACGCTTATAAATGATAATGTTTTTGTAGAAAATATCTAACTTAAAATTAATAGCGTTGACAATGATATCTGATTGAACAGAGGTCAAGTGCGTAGCGGTTTCTATGTCGATTGTAGCATGCCTAATCCTTATAAATGAAAGACAGCTAGTATGGAGAAAATTGAACACCACGCCGTTATTAAATGCCTTACCAAGCAAGGAAAATTCGTTCAGACGATTTTTCAAGAGCTGTTAGCAGTTTACGCGGACACTGCCCCTGGTAGAACCATGGTTTACAAGTGGCATGGTCTTTTAAAACAAGGAAGAGAGTATTGAAGATGACCACCGCTCCGGACGGTCAATTGAGGTGTGGTGGACACCGGAAATAGTTGATAAAATAGAAAAACTTGTATTAGAAGATACCCGGCTGAAGAAGAAGCAGCTTGCAGCAATGGTTGGTGTATCCGAAACAAGTATTTTATATATTGTACATCGTCATCTTGGCATGACTAAGGTCAGTACAAGATGGGTTCCAAGAATGCTCGCGCCACTTCGAAAAAGTGAGCGTGTCGAGTGTTCTCGCCAGTTTTTAGAGCTCGGTGTAGAGAGTAGAGAAAAGTTATAGCCCAGATTGTTACTGCAGATGAAACCTGGGTTCACCACTATGAAACTGAGTCGAAGCAAGAGTCGATGCAGTGGTATAAAAAAGGTACAGCTCCTCCGAAGAAGTTTAAAGTGTCACAATCGGCCGGAAAGATCATGGCGACTATCTTTTGGGAAACAGAAGGCATTTTGCTAATCGATTATAAAGATCGTGGTGTGACTATAACGGGACTACTACTATTACTCTTCTTTACTGTACAGACTGAAAGAAGCTGTAGGCGCGTTTGGGTTGTCACTATCAATAATATCACCAAAATATGCGAACATATTATTAAGTATATATTTATATGCAATAAAAATGTATCGAATTGCTCTAAAATTGCTCGAGGCAACTTGTAGGTACCAAGTGGTGATATAACATGTCTTGTTGTTTTTTATTTTTGACATGGTATGCATGCTCTTGTCCAGTCACGACAGTTCTTCCTCATATTTGGCCATACGAATCGCTCTCCAACCAATTTTGTTTTTATATTGGCATCTGGGATCGGGTCTTGCTGTGGTCCCTTTGCTGTCTACCTCTGGATCGGGAACGTCTGTGGTCGCTTGCGGAAAGTGCTTCTACCCGCCGGGTTAGTTCCGCTATTTGTTGTGACATTTGCGTCAGTAGGGCTGTAGTCGGTAAGTGTGCTGATGCTATCTGTGGAGATTTAGGTACCAGCTCATTTACCTTGTCGGCGAGGTCTGATAGAGAGTGTAGGGTGGAGTCTGGTTGAGACGCGATGACGGTCTGCAGGTTGCTCGGCAGGAGGCTAGTCCACAATGTCCTTAAAAAATCCTCGGGCACGTTAGGGCCTGCCAGATGTTGCAGATGTCTGAAGAATTGGGAAGGACGTCTATCCCCCAATTCCTCATGCATTAAAAGCTGTGTTACTTCTTTTTCCCTCCACGCCGATAACCTCTTAATTAACTCCGACTTTTATTTTTCATATTTTACCTTTGTTGGTGGGTTTATTATTATGTCTTTTACTTCTATCGCGTATCGTGGATCTAACTGAGCAATTACAAAGTAATACTTGGTATCGTCATCCTTGATACCCGATAGCATAAAATTCCCTTCTATTTGGGAAAACCAAATGGCGGGTTCATCCGACCAAAATGGTGGCACGCGTACGCCGACACGACATACGTCGGGTGGTGTAACAGTCCCCGTTGAATCCGAGTTATCGCGGCCTGCGTTTACCATCTTAATTGTTTTAAATTAATTGGAATGCTTAAGTTGATTTCTTTGTCCAGGTCGGGTGACCAGTTGTAGACGCGTTTGCTTTGTCACTATCAATAATAGCACCCAAAACTTTGCGAACATCTATATTAATAATTCCGTCAAGGGGTACGGTAGACTCGAACGAAACCTTATGTGAATAACAAAACATAAAAAAATATTTATTTCGAGTCGACAACATACATTATGCTGAGTTCATTGATGCCATGATATAATAGATACTACATATTATATATTACTTACAGCGCTTACAGGTACATCTATTTTAATTATCTGAAATATGAACACAATGATTAATGAACCTACACTTACTACCTTTACTTTTTATATTATATGTAATGAAAAAATAAAAAATAGGTTACATGATCATCCCGAATTCCTGTTTTAGCGTCAGAGTCATATAAATTGGTGTCCACATAAAACTTCTGCGGTAACCATGCCAATATGTCTGTACTGTCCACTGGAACAGTTACAGTAGGTGGTCCACCACTAGTTTTATTCAGAGATCACCTCTGGTCTGCTAAATTTTTCTTTTTACTTATTTTGATGACTCCCCACTGAGTTTTTATTTGTTGCAATGTGCGTCTGCTACCTTTGCACATTGCATTAAAACTGAATAATATATTGAAGTGTAAGCACATGAGCAATAACAATTCACATATAAAATTATACTAAGCATGCAAGTTACTCTAATCTACGGGGCTAGCTTCTACAAATAATAAATAACCTAACCATAACTTCCAGCCATCCTTTCTTTTTACAGTTGTTGGTATTCGTATCCGTATTCTTATTCTCTAGTACGGCGACACGATCGCGGATCAATTCCAACAATAAATTCTATCAAAAATATAGTATGCATTAAATGAATGTAATAAAAAGTTAAAACAAGTGAAATTCAAAGTCGTACATAAAAAATAATTTACTTGATCCAAAACTGGACAAATTAACAAATATTGATAAGAAAACACAATCTTACCTTGTCGTCTTCCAACCAATTTCCGCTTCGTGCTCTCTTTTGTTTATCCATTTTAAAATTTACTAGACAATGAAATCCGTAATATGTAATCAATCCGTTAATTCTAGCGAATTGTAACTATATTAAAACAATCGTAAATTATAACATGCAATTTGTAAATAAAACCTACAATCGTTTTGACAGGACCAATGTTGCCAACGATGTTTTATTGAATCCACTATATAGCAAAGAAACCTCGAGTTTTACAAAATATTTAAATCAATATTAATGAATTAATAAAACTACTTGAAACCATTATATTAAAAAATTGCATAAAAATACATGCATATTTAAACCAAAAATCATTGTAATATTTAAAAACTATGTAAAAATACTTCTATCTTCCCTTAACTTTATTAAATAGAAATACAATAACAATAATAAAATACAATTTTATATATATTCAATAGGAAAATGTATTAATTTACATAATTTGTTCAATACTGGAGGAGTTAATTCTGCTAGATTTAGTGGTGAAGCAACTAAAATAGCAACACTGATTACGTCATCTGCGTATATGGTAAAACAGTCCAACTTCAAGATTACATACTTGATTACATACAACATAATGATAAAAACAGTCCTATAAACCTCTATTAGTTAGTGAGGCTTTATAATAGGTTTATGAATAACGCACTTCTATAAACCTTCAATCAGTTTTTTTATGAATAAGACCGTTATTCTGTATAATGTGGTATAGTACGTGAGAATGAACACGTTCAGTAAAAGATGGTGCCAGTGTACGTTTTAACTAACGACACATAGGTCACGCACTAGCTTATATATATAGTTTATGTAATTAGTCTAAGGTAGAGTAATTGAAGATGTAACAGTGAATAAACCAAATTCAACCCTACTGTGTGTTTACTCTCACCACCGCTCCTATCATCACATGGCGACCGTGACAAGTAGCTGGAAGCAAGGCACCGGGAAACAGCGGTAAAGTGAAGAGTCAAAGGTACCCAATTGATTATTTTGACCTATATGATGGGCGGACAGCAAACAAAGGACAACATAATAGTTGAGCAACTGCCCTCAGTATCAATTAGTGGAAGTGGAAAATCCGCCACGGGACTTCTATTAGCTGAAATACTGCTAATAATAATCGTTACGATCCTCATTCTGGGATTAGTTGTCAAACTTTGGACAAAAATTCGTAACATTATTTTCACAACCATCGATGCAAGACTGAGTAGAAGAATGCTGGCATCCCCGCCATCCCGGGTTTGAAGTTAGTTATCAAATTTTTTTTTTTTGTTTTTTATGTTTTGTGCCGTGTTATATGGAGACTTTGAATAATTTATTCATAGAACTAAAAGAAATAAGAGCTTATATTGTCAAACTATCTAAAGTAAAAAGACAGAGCAACCAAGGGCGGCAAAAATTAAAATTAGCATATTCAGTGCGTGATAAATTTAGGATTACATATAAAAATTTATGTGAATTATTTTTAAGCTCAAAGGAAGTAGACGTAGATAGGACTTCACAAATTATTGAATTATCAACCACATTCGATAAACTATTTAAAGAAATTGAAACACTAGTAACCACCCCTATTATAAACATGGCCGCGTTTGATCTGAAAACCGCGTTATCTCTGTTTCCGATTGTAAATCGGGAGGAGGACATTATAAAAAGCCTTTTAGACGGCATAGAGTTTTATAAAACCGTTCTCAGGTCCGAGGACCATCCCTTACTAATAAACTTCATTCTAAAGACAAGGCTTTCTAGTGGTGCAAAACTAAAATTGAAAACGAACTATGATAGTATTAGCGATTTAACGGGGGATATAAAAAAATTCCTATTACCAAATAAATCGTATACATTCATTTTAGCGCAATTACAGAAATGTAGGCAGGGTAATAGGACAATTTTAGAGTTTGGGGATGAGATAGAGAGGTTATTCATTGAGTTAACAATTGCCCAAGCAGGGGGTTTGAACACGGCGTATGAAATACTATTACCAATCAACGAAAAAACAGCCGTTAAACAGTTTGCTAGGGGATTAAATAATGATAGACTATCCATGATAATAACATGTCGCGAAATCTCACAAGTACGGGAAGCTATTACAATAGCAATAGAAGAGGAGAATGAAAGATTATCTTTAAATTCAGAAACATGTTATAGAATTCAGTCTAGAAATTATTACACTAAGTATAATCATGCCTATAATAAGAATTATAAGCCGCGATTCTTTAATAAAGGTCAAGTTCGATACAATGGAAGTAACGTGCAAACACAGCGAAATCAGCAAATGCATAGTAAGGAAGGTCGCGCATTCTTTCGTAGTAAGCGTATAAACTATGTTGGAGAAACAGCTGATAATAATAACAGTGAGGAAAATGAAACTTCATTAGAGTTTTTTCGTGAATAAAAGTAAAACGGAAATTTTATCTTTTAGCACGAGTAATGTAGTTAAGTTAAATTGTTTTAATAATAACATACATTTAATAGCTGATTCGGGCGCCTCGATATCGATAATAAAATATGACTGGCTACGAGACATGCGATGTATTAAAATATATAAAGATAATGTCACTATAAAAGGAGTTTGTGGAAACTTAAAATCGATGGGACATGTGGTGCTAAATCTTGAAATCAATAAAATAAGATTGCAGCAAAAATTTTACGTATTTAAGGAATTACAATGTAATTCAGATGGTATATTAGGAGAGGATTTTTTAAAACATTTTAAGGGTGTTATTAACTATGAGTTGGGATATTTAAGCGTAAAACCCATGAGCCTTCAAAATAGGGTTTATATACCCTTCGAAAAAAAAATACAGGAAATGAATAACATAACACTTCCTAGTAGAAGCGAAGTAACTAAATTAATACACGTGAATCTGAAAGATGAGTGTGTTATATTCCCAGAGGAGATATCTCCAGGGATATTTATTGCAGGATCGGTAGTACGACCGGACAGTAATGGAAGGATTCCAGTAAGATTCCTGAATACACGAACGGAGGAGGTGCCGTTACGAGACTACTGTCCTAAAGCAGATAAATTATCAGATTACTATGTATGTAACTTCGAACCTACTGAGAAATCGGCATGTAGAGTTAAGGAATTATTTAAATTATTGAAGTTAGAAACATATTTGAATAGTGAAGAAGGCAGTAGCATATCAAAAATATGTGCGAAGTATGCAGACATTTTCCACCTGCCAGGTGATAAATTGACAACGACAGAGTTATTAAAACATTCTATTAAACTACAAGAAGGCGTTACTCCCGTGTATGTAAAACCATACCGGATTCCGGAAGCTCAACGAAATGAACTTGTTAAGCAAATAAAAAAAATGATAGATGAAGACATAATCGAAGAATGCACAAGTGAATGGTCTTCACCTTTACTTCTAGTTCCGAAAAAAAATGATAATAGTGGCGAAAAGAAATGGAGAATGGTGATCGATTTCAGGCTACTAAATAAAAAAATCATAGATGAGAAATTTCCATTACCTAATATAACAGAAATATTAGACTCTATCGGGATCAATATATTACTCACATTTGGATTTATCTTCAGGCTATTATCAGCTTGGCCTTGATGAGGACTGTAGAAAATATACCTCATTTACTGCCGATAAACAATATCAACTAAAAAGATTACCTATGGGGCTAAAAACAAGCCCGAGTGTATTTTCGAAACTAATGACTATTGCTATGACTGGATTAAATTATGACAAATGTTTTGTTTATTTAGATGACATTGTGGTTATAGGGAAGAGCTTGGCTCATCATAATAAAAATCTAATGGATGTTTTTGAACGATTAAGAAATGTCAAATTAAAACTAAATCCTTCTAAATGTGTATTTTTGAAAAAAGAAATATTGTATTTAGGACATGTTATTTCCAAAGATGGAATTTTTCCAGACAAAAGTAAGATTGAGGTCATTCAGAAGTACCCTGTACCTAAGTCAGTGGATGAGGTTAGAAGATTCATAGCATTTGCAAATTATTATCGCAAATTTATAAAGAATTTTTCTTCAATCGCGTATGAAATAAATAAGTTATGTAAAAAAGACGTTTTTCAGTGGACAGAGGAATGTCATAAATCGTTCGACCTGCTAAAAAAATTACTTAGCGAACCTCCTATCCTGGACTATCCTGATTTTTCAAAAGAAAACATGTTCATACTCCAAACAGATGCTTCAGGAATAGCAGTTGGAGCAGTATTATCAAACGGGAACAATAGACCTGTAGCATATGCCAGTAGGCAGTTGAATAAGTCTGAAATTAATTACCCCACAATCCATAAGGAACTATTGGCAATTGTTTGGGCTGTTAAACATTTCAGACCATATCTCTTTGGCAGGAAATTTAAAATTCTTACAGATCATAAACCCTTGGTGCATTTATTTGGCATGAAAGAACCAAACAGTAGGTTAACCAAATTTAGACTATGTCTGGAGGAATATGACTTTATTATAGAATATATTAGTGGCTCAAAAAATGTAACAGCGGACGCCTTATCAAGGATAAGTATGACGTCCGATGACCTGAAAAATTTTAACACATACCAAATAGGGGTAGTAACACGAACTCAACATAGAGCAACTAGAGGTTCTCAGGTGAATAATTTACCTAGAATAGTAGATGTTACGAAGAAGCCGCCTAATAGTGTGGAATTAAATATTTGTAAAAAGGAAATATTTAGAAAAATGGTGGGAAATCAGGATATACGTGCTAATAATGATGTTTTCCTTAAGGATTCGATAATATACTTTAACCAGGATTCTTTAGTAACGAAGGTACGCATAGACGAATCGTTGCAGGAGCTTGGGGAATTGTGTAGGAAAAATATTTTTGAGATTATAATTATCAAAAATAACGACAACAAGTCGATAGTGAGAGAGTTATGTCGTCACACGCGCAGTTATCATACATTACCACGGTTATGCATATTACAAGGGGTAAAAAAAATAGATGACAGGGAAATGGTAAGAATAATACTAAACGATTTTCATTTGCTACCTACGAGTGGGCATGCAGGCATCACTAGAATGACTACTAATATATAAAGAAAATATTTTTGGAATAGGATGCATGATGATATTGCGAATTATGTAAAAAAATGTACTGTCAGAAACAGAAATACTCTAATAGAAACGTCAAAGAAAAAATGGTAATTACTTCTACTTCTACTTCCGCATTAGATAAAGTTTTTTTAGATATTGTTGGTCCTTTAGATATAGACAGACAGGGTTATAAGTATATATTAACAATACAAAGTGAATTATCAAAATTTGTAGAAGCATACCCAATTGTATCTAAGTCAGCAGAAACTGTTGCTAGAAACTTTGTAGAAAACTTTATTCTCAGATATGGCATACCTAGGGAGATTGTATCTGATTGTGGAACAGAGTTTATGAACTCAATTCTAACTAAAGTATGTGAGTTGCTGGAAATAAATAAACTAAATAGTACTTCTTATCATCACCAGAGTATAGGGAGTCTAGAGAATTGGCATAAACATTTAGGTAGTTATTTAAGAATCCAAACCAATAACCAACACGAGAATTGGAGTACATGGATACCATATTGGTGTTTTGCTTATAATAATACAATTAATATGTCTACTAAATATTCTCCTTATGAATTGGTTTTTGGAAAAACTTGTTTATTACCAAGTAATTTATGTAATGATGTTGAACCTTTATATGTGCACGACGATTATCCATTAGAACTAAAATATAGATTACAAATGTCTCAAAGGGAGGCAAGAAATAATTTAATTAAGTCTAAGATATTAAGAAAAGAAATATATGACAGAACTTCCAACCAAATAAGCTACAAAGAAAATTATTTAGTGTTAATAAAAAAATGAGGTTGGAAATAAGTTTAGTGAATTATTTAAAGGACCATATAGAGTATTAGAAGATTGTGGAGCAAATGTAAAAATAATAAATGATAAAAAAAAAGTTATATTAGTCCATAAGAATAGAACGAAAAAATTTTTAGAATAAATTGTTTTATGTATAAATTATTAAGTAAATCTTTAGTGACTATTTTATATTTTCCTTGTAAGGTTATACTTCCAGAGGGAGGGGACACCCTCACAATAGACACCCTACTTTTTCAGGGGAGATGTACGTGAGAATGAACACGTTCAGTAAAAGATGGTGCCAGTGTACGTTTTAACTAACGACACGTAGGTCACGCACTAGCTTATATATATAGTTTATGTAATTAGTCTAAGGTAGAGTAATTGAAGATGTAACAGTGAATAAACCAAGTTCAACCCTACTGTGTGTTTACTCTCACCACCGCTCCTATCATCACAATAATACTACGACAGTAGTGGAAACATTAGTATATGTACGTAAATTATACAATTCCGTTATGGAAACGTCATATTAAACTTTAAAACTAATTTGTTAGAATAAAAGTTTCCGATTAAACAAATCGGTATGGCTACCCCGCTACAGGTGGTAACATTTTTTTTGTTCTGTTTAACCTTAATCGGAAAGGCAAAGAGAACTGTGCCCGTACAGCCGGGGTGGTAACATTATTTGAAAATTTTACATTTAAACTTGTATAGGTATTAATAAATATGTGGTTGTTGTATAAAAATTGTATAAAAATAATATAAACTGCCTTTTTTTATAAAACAAATGACTTTTTCATAGTGTCATATATTACTTAGCTGATTGTAAGAAAAAAAATGTTGGTTTGTAGATTAATACTGTAAAAATTACTATTTGTACAGAAACGACAAAAACATATATTTATTCTGTATAATATTACGACAGTAGTGGAAATATTAGTATATATACGTATATTTTTTTTTATAAAACGGGATTAACGAGCATGCGGCTCACCTGATGGTAAGTGATTACCGCCGCCCATGACTTGACTGTTGGGAGAGGTCACAGGATGCTATCGGTGTATTCTGTGACCTCTCAAAAGCATTTGATTGCGTTGATCATGAAACACTCTTACTCAAATTAGAATATTACGGTATTAGATATGAAGCACTATGCATGATGAAATCCTATCTAAATAATAGAATGCAAGTTGTTGAAATAAATGGTGTAAAGTCTGAGGGAACTAGTATTAAAATGGGTGTTCCTCAGGGCTCTATTCTAGGTCCTTTCTTATTTTTAGTTTACATAAACGATCTTCCTTATATGGTAGAAAAGATAGCTGACATAGTTCTGTTTGCTGATGATACTTCATTAGTATTCAAAGTCAATCGACATATTGATGATATGGACGAAGTAAACGGTTCTCTCTCTTATGTTTTAAAATGGTTTACGGCAAATAATATGCTACTAAATGCAAATAAAACTAAATGTATCAAATTTACTCTCCCCAATGTAAGGCCGGTAGATTCAAAAATCGTATTGGACAATAAATCTATTAATTTT